GCTTCCAGCTGCCTGGCTGCCGGCTGCCATCTTGGCTGGCAGTTAATTTGCATATCGCCCTGATTAGCCAATGGGAAGGGTAGCGGTTGTACGCTAATTACCATGTTTCTCTTTTATTAGATAGGATGGTTGCAAATATCAAAAAATTTCTATATGTGACACAGCACCAGAGTTAAGTTAGGGTTTTTCAAAATGCTGACATGCCGAGCTCAAACAGATCAGGAGGGGAAAGGATGAAAGCGGCCAATAAAAATCAATGGTTTAAGACAGAGCTAAGGAAAGAAACATTACTGGTGGATTCTTTCATTAGTGGGACCACATGTGATTTTTTCAGTCTTATCCAGCATTTTTTATATAAACCACATGTTCTGCAATGAGAATTTATTATTTTATAGAGGGGAAGTCCCAATATCATTATTAAAAATTATTAACTCCTGAGTTTAGGTCTTGGGACAGTCAGTTACTGGCTTAGATGACCTCAGCCAGTCACATACTTGCCTCCTCGGAGGGTTTGACACTCCTCCGAGCCCCTCTGTGTTCTGACTCTGGGCTCCTGAGACCCAGCCCTGAGGGTGGGGGTGGCAGACCAGGAGTCCCTCCGCCCAGGGTCCTGAGACCCGCCTGGCAGCGTTGGGTACCTTCCCAGGGCAGGAGGGTATGGTGTGCCTGACTGGCCCCTGACCCTGGCTGGGAGGGAGGGCACTTGGAGGGCTGAGTCAAGGCAGTGTTGTGGGACAATCACAGGAACAGCTGTCCCTCCCCACCCCTGAAGATCAGGTCTTGGGTGTCCTAAACCCCAAGAACCAGGCTTGGTGACAAACACCTGCCCAGGAGAGCCCTTGTGAAGGCCAGTGTTCACTCTGCCGCTGACAGGCTGTGGTTCCAGAGGCGTGTATGGTCCCCTCTCTCTCTCTGTGCCTCAGTTTCCATAAAGATACAGCCAAACGTGTCCTACCTTTTGAAGTTCACAACACCTTTTGGGATTCCCGTGGGGGTGTTGAAGGCCGGCAGGAGTTTCTCTCCGAGCTTGATGGCCTTCACTCGGAACACCTGGAAGGGTCAAAGGACACTGTGAATCTGGGCTGGGTGGGGTGCAGTCACTGCAAGAGGGTGCACTGGTGGATAAACCGCCAACGCTGCCAGCCCCAGAGCGGAGGTGGCACTGCCTCAGGCTCTGTGGTGGGACAGGCCGGGGTGTGAGCCTGGCTCTGTGGTCTGAGGTGAGGCACCTCTCTCTGAGCCTCAGTTTCCTTGGTCATAAAATAATGACAATATTGCCTTCCTTGGAGGGTTATTGGGAGGAATACAAATTAGGTAACAGTTACAAAGCACTCACGGGTGTCAGGACTACGATGAAGGCTCAGTGACCATAACTGTGATTTGGGTGGCCCTTGGGAAGATGAAGCAATCAGGGCAGTGGGTCAAAGGGTCTATGCCTGCCCACACTGTGGGGCCAGCTGTCACAGGCTGTGCTCGTGGGAAACAGTGTGTACAGAATATAAAGAGCACTGGATGGGGAGCCCAGGCCCCACCCGGTTCCAGGCTGTCCCACCGCTTGGCATCTATGTGCTTCTCGGTGAACCATGGCCTCCTCCTGGGCAACACTTTTCCACCTGTAAACCAGGGAAGGGCCTTTTCCCTTTCCCCTTCGGATTCTGCCTGCTGCTTCCACTTTATCGACGGGAATAAGGAGAAGGAGAATGGCTCATCCTGAACCACCCATATGATGGCCAGGGAGCCGTGAGGAGGCCCCAGGCCTCAGGGTCCCTGCCCGAGGCTCTGACCTGTCAAACTGTTCTTCTGATTAATTCAAAAGCATCTGTGACCTCCTGACTCAGCAGTGTCCCTCACAGGAATTTATTCTAAGGAAATAAATAATCAAGGATGTTGTGAAAATTTAACCTTATGGCTGTTTATTCCAGCATTGTTAGAGGAGAAGATGGAAATACTCTAAATAGCAAACTATACAGGAGTGGTTAAATGACAGCTCATCCCTGCAAGGGAACACTGTGCAGCCACTGAAGTGATGCTATAGGAGAATATTTAATAGCAAAGAAAGGGTTTATAATGTATTAAGAGAAAAGTATGTCAAAATAGTGTCATTCAACTTTGGTAAAAATTGTATTCATATGGACACTTGGGGAAAGGATGGAATGCACCAGAATATTAGCAAGTGTCTCCTGGGAGGGGTAGGCTCACGGAGGACGTTTATTTCCTTCTCGTGGCTTATCTATTTTCTGTGCCATTTTATCATAAAACAAACCCACATTAAATGTCATGTATCTTTTAAAAGATGAGATGCAAGTCCCTAAGCAACCGCTCCCAGTGGGACAACACGTTTCCTTTTACTTCTGCAGCTCGAGGGTGACCCAGTTTGCTGACCTCCTGCGTGTCATTGCAAAACAAAGTCATCTTGAGGTCCCCAACCCCAACACACACAATTTACTAATGCTGAGTCAGCTGTTTAGGGACTGCAGTGGGAAGTGGTGAGAGGCCTCAGAGCGGAGTGGTGGGTGTGGTGCTTGCTTAGGAAGGGGGAGGGAGGGGTGAAGGAGGAGAGTAGGAGGAAGGAGCAGGAGGAAAGAACCGCATGAGGCCTGGCAGTGCCGGGCAAGAGAAGATGCTAATGTCAGTGCCAGACAGTAGGTCCCAGAAGTGGGCACGGGGACACCTATGTCAGAATTTCTGGGAGCTTGTCTAGAATCCAGGTTTCAAAGTCTCCTGTCACTACAGAACCCACTGGTTTAGCAACAACTAAGAGCTCTCGTGTGAGGCTCTTGAGGAGGCTGAGCCAGAGACACACAGGGACCCACCGAGCCGGAGCCCAAGGCTGAGGCTCCAGGCTGCTGTCTGCTGCCCTTTGCCCGCAGGACTCCGCGCTCACTCCTCTTAGACGCTCTCCTCAGACAGCAAACCCTGTCTTCTCCTTCGGAAGGTCTTGCTGCCGGCTGGCAGTGCAGGTCTCCACACCCCGGGAGGATGAATGAGTGTGTGTGGACGAGAGTGGGACCACTTTCCTCCTTGTCATCTTGGAAGTGAGTGGGTGTGTAAGGGGTTCAGAACCCAATTCCCATGTGCGTGTGGAAGTCCCCCCACACCACCAAGCAAGTCTCCAGACACCGGCTCCATGTCTAAGAATTCAACTCAACTCTGACACTGTCCACAAAGGAGAGAGCATCAGGTTCCATATGTTAAGGGTTCAGGCCTGCAAGACCGCCCGCCCCCATTCTTCAGCTGCCAACGCAGAGCAGGTGTTACCCAGGAACCCCACCTTGGGTTTGATTATTTTTCTAGAGCGGCTCACAGAACTCAGAGAAACATGTTACTTACTGTGCCAGTTTATTATAAAAGGATATAACTCGGGAACAGCCAGATGGAAGAGGTACATAGGGCAAGAAATGGGGGAGGGCACGGAGCCTCTGTGCTCTGAGTACCACTCTCCCCAGCTCCCCACCTGCTCACAACCAGAAGCTTGCTGAACCCAGTGCTTTGGGTGTTCATGGAGACTTCATTACACAGGCACAACTGAGGGAACCACTGGCCACTGGCTACTGATTCATCCTAGCCCCTCTCCCCTCCTTGAAGGCCTGAAAGCTCCAACCTTCTAATCACATGACTGTTACTCCTGGCAACCAGCCTCCATCCTAGTTGGGGCCAAAAGTCACCTCAATAACATAACAAAAGGCACTTTTATCATTGTCACTGCTTAGGAAATACCTATGGTTTTAGGAACTCTGTGCCAGAAACAGGATGAAGACCAAATACCTATTTCTTGTAAGTCACAACATCACAGTGGGCCAGGTGTCTCATCTCCAGGGCCTTCATCCCTTGCAGCAGCCGTGGGCAAGGTGTTGACCCACTTGGAGAAGGACTACACTGAGTCTCAGCAAAGCAATCTGCCCAACATGAGGAGCTATGAAGTGACTCTTTTCCAGGACACCAAGCTGCCTTCCCAACATAGAAAGGCCTCAGGCAGCCATGGTAAGCAACGGGCAGTGGCCTACTGGCTCCAGACAGAGATGAAAGAAACCAGCAAGAATTATATTCTGCAGAGTGAAACGGGCACTGTTCTGGGAGTCACTGAGCAGGCATGTGACCGTGGGTAAGCCATGCACTGTCTCTGAGCCTCATCTGCACAATGGAATGGTGACGGCCCTGGCTGCTTCACAGGGTCCTTCTATTGTTTTTGACTTTTTATTGTAGTTGATTTCTAATTTCATGCCATTGTGATCTGAGAAGATGCTTGATATGATTTCAATCTTCTTGAATTTGTAGAGACTTAGCCTATGTCCTAACATGTGGTCTATCTTTGAGAACGTCCCATGTGCACTTGAGAAGAATGTATATTCTGTAGCTTTGGGGTGAAATGTTCTGAAGATGTCAGTTAGTTCCATCTGATCTAGTGAGTCCTTTAGGATTGCTGTTTCCTTGTTGATTTTTTTGTCTAGAAGATTTATCCAGTGATGTCAATAGGGTATTAATGTCCCCTACTATGATTGTATTGCTGTCCCTTGATATTGTCCAGAAGTTTTTTTATGTATTTGGATGCTCCTGTATTGGGTGCATATATGTTTACCAGAGTTATATCCTCTTTTTGTATCCATCCCTTTAGTATTATGAAGTGGCCTTCATTATCTCTTGTTATGGCCTTCACTTTGAGGTCTATTTTGTCAGATATAAGTATTGCTACCCCAGCTCACAGGGTCCTTCTAGACATCAAATAAGAGGGTGTTATAGTGAATGTGCTATATAAACTGTAAAGCGCTATGTCAGTGCCACCTGGTGTGGCTGTGGCTGTGCTTGTGGTTCCCGTGGGAGTGTCTGTAGGGCTGGCTACCCAGCAGGGGACTCTTCTCCCAAAGGTTCCCTCTGAAGCAAAGAAAGGCCTCAGCCCAGGAGGGGGGGTGGGTGAGGTCTCTTTCACCATCCATTCCACAAATACTCATGGGGATTTTAAGAAAGCCTCACTCCACAGGCACCTTCTGTGGGAAATTAAGGACTGAGAGGAGGGTGACCCTGGGCCAGGCTGAAGAGGGCCCATGGCAGAGAGGTCACAGGGTCATAAGTTGACCCAAAATAGCCTCCCAGCCTGTGACCTGAGCAAGTGACTTCTAAGTCTCAGATCCTGCACCTGCAAGTCGGTGAAGACATCACTCCATGGGCTGTTTGAGGAATGAGGACACAGTGCACACGCCCCATCTCTGCCGTGTGGAGGTGCTGGGGACAGGGGGGACTAGGAAGGCATGGTTGGAGGAAGGAGCCTGCCTGCTCAGGGACTCGGAGCCACGTGGCCTCTCCTTGGGCCTTTTAAACTATTTCTAAGTCACAGGTGCTCCTATCCACATCCCACTGTCTGGTCTGCATCCTGGAAAGACAGGCTGACAGTCCCTTTTAGGGAGCCGAGGCCTCAGAACAAGTTCTCAGAATCCCAGACACCTCAGAGCGGGGAGGGAGGGACAGCAGGTCTGGGGAGCACCAGCTCCATCCTGAGCCTCTGGCCCCCACAGCAGACCCCATGAGCCCCCTGAATCACTGCCTCCCCTTCCTGCACCCGCCTCCTCCTCCCACAACCTAGACGAGAGGTGGGCAAGGGCCCGTGAAGAACATGAATGCTTTTTTCTGCTCCATGTGTCATTTCCTGTCCTGGGGTTTTCAAATGAAATTCAGGCCTTGGGTGGCTCCAAGCCCAGGGCTCCCATCTACGATTATTTGGGGACAAATTGGTACAAGCGGTAATCTCCGCTGAGGAGATTATGTTTGATGGAGAGAGGCCTAAAGCTACTGGAGAGATAAAGCGCATGCCCGCCGCCTCTAAATTCTCGGCTTCAGCCCGTGTGCCTTAAATGAAGTGAAGGGGAACTGGCTCTCAGACAAGAGCTATCTGTAGAGGTGAAGTGGGACTATGGCTGGCCTCACCTCCAAGGCCCCCCACAGGCTTAATTACTCATCTCTGAGTGGACAGAGAGGGGGAAGTGTGAGGACAGGAAAGAGCCCAGGCCAAAGGACCAGCCCCATTCACAAGACTTGTTGACTCAAGGGAAGATGAGGACCATCCCCGTGGTGGGGAAGGAGGGAGGCCCAGGGATGGGAAAAGGGACTTGCTGAGGCCACAGGCAGGGGTGGTGTGGGGAGGAGGTACTGGTTTCTGACTGTGCCCACGGCCTTCTGGAAGGCAGCGCAGTGCACCTGGTATTTACAACATGTGGCTGCTCCATCTCCCCTACTGCCCCCGAGACCTGGAGCTGGTGTCTGGCCCAGAAAGAAAGGGAAGGGGTGGTTGTGGAGTATAGAGCAAGACCTAGGGGCCCCTGGGTAGAAATGGCGAAACAATGGTCTTGGCTCCATCAATCCTGAGAATGAGCACCTGCAATAACCAGCCCAGTACTCTGCAAGCCCACACCGAGCCCAGGTATTGCTGCACGCCCTGCAAGGAGCTGCACGGATGGTGAGCAGACCTAGTCGTCGCCCTTAGAGAATTTACTACCATCGGGGCAGCAGAATAGAAGCACCAGACAGAAGAGGTTGCAGGTGGCATCACGGAGGTGGGGGGCATGGGTAGCCCTGGGCAACTCCTCTTGGATCCTTGTTTCCTCAGGGGAAGTGAGGGGAGGGGATGGATGTTCTCCCAAACCCTTTACAGCCTGGATGGTCCAGGTGCCTGGAAGCACCAACTTACATCCTCTCCTGTCAGGTAGAAGGCCGAGAGGAGTCCCCCGATGTACCGGATGTTGACCTCAAACAAAGATGCTTCTCCACTCTGCAGGGCAGAAAGAAGGGGCAGGGCAGTGGGGACACTTGTGAGATGCCTGCTGGGCTCTCAGGGGCGGCCAGGCCCTTGAGACCAGTCACACTCCACTGTGCCCCATCCCCCTGCTGATCTGGCTGCACCTGGGCCGGTTCCCAGATGCAGTGGTGGTGGTTTTGAGAACAAAGGCACCTACAGGGCGGCCACTGCACATTTACAACATCCCAAATAAACACCGGGTTTGGCTTCCTTCCCCAGCCCTTGCCCGAGGCCATCAGAGCAAAGTTCTGCCTGGCTGCTCTCCAAGGAGCTTAAGAACCCACTTGGGGAGCTGCTGGCTGAAGCTTAGCCTGAGGGGAGGCAATCTTCCTCTAGCCCGCCCGGCCCCTCGGCTTAGCAGGAAGATGGTGTGACCCTTCCTTGAGGTGGCAGGGCAAGAGGAAGGGTCTCAGAGGAGGTTCTGGGGCAGATGGGGCAGGGCTGAGACTGAGAGGGAGGTGCACCAAGCAGATGCTTGTAGGTAAACAGCAATTTCTCTGCTGGAGCTGGAGCCCTTGGGGCACGCCCAACCTTCCAGAATCATTGTTATTTTCTCTCTGAAATGTTGTCTGTAAATCAGGGGTGTTGGGCATCATGCCAAGGACCAGATCTGGGTGAAAATCTGCCTGAGCCACTTCCTTGGCTTTGGGACTTTGAACAAGATGTTCAGCTTTTCCTTTCCCGGTGCCTTCGTCCGGGCAGGGCAGAGGGGAGAGGCTGAGTGGTGCGGGTGCGGTGCCGCCCAGTGCCAGGAGTGGCTTCAGATAGGTGCCCGCTGTTGCCTCCCCTCACCCAGGGCTCTCCTTGATGCACTTCCCATGTCATGGCCTTTTATTACTGACAAGAACAATGGTCATCCCTTTATCTGGGAGAGCTTTCCCCTTGACCGAGCACTTGCAAAGCCATACTCTCCTTTAGCCTCACAATGCACGGTGATGCCATCACTCCCATTTTTCAGATGAGAAAGCCAAGGCTCAGAGAGGGGCAGTGACCATGTCTTGCTTTCTTCCAGGGAAACCCCCTAACCTGCCCAGCCTGCCTGAATGTCCCCATCTGGCTCCTCGGGCAGCTGCCTGATTCCCACTCTCTACCCACCATCTGCAGAGAACAAGGGGGGTCTATGAAGACTCCTCCCTCCTCCACCTCTGCCTTTCTTCCATTCGATGCAGGAGGAAATGGGATTTTAAACTCCTCACCTCACACAGACCATCGGAAGTCATAATGAGCCTCAAAATAATCATGATGGTGATGACGATACGGCACCACTTACATCTGTGTTGGACTTTATGGTTATAAAATGCTTTTTACAACCTCCGTGATAGTTAAAGCTCACAAGCCTGCACGCCGGGCATCATTACTGTTGCTGTTGTGTCATTTCCATCTTAAAGTGGGGAAACTAAGGCCCAGGGAGGCTGGCCTCCCCCAGGCACCTGCTGAGCCAGGGAAGCACCCCTGCAGCGTTGCTCTCCCAGACTCTCCGTTGGCATCTCTGCTGATACTGGCCTCACTTCTGCCATAAGCCGCAGGAGCGGACCCCATCCCTCCAGGACCCCTCACTGGTGGAGCCTGACGGATCCCCCCTCCTATCTGCCGTAATTTCTTGCTCCCCAAATCCATCTAAGCAGCCTCTCCCCATGCTGAGCAGAGGCCTCCAGGATGGGTCGGTTACTTTAGTCTGGGCTGGGAGATAAGTGGGGGTGGGGTCTGGTATTTAAGGGTTTTGTGCCATCCAGACACATTACCATCTCCTCCCCAAGGTTCTGGTCCCTGACCAGGGATACCTGCGAGGCTGGAAACCAAGAGGGTTCAGCCCAGGTCATGGGCCTCTCAGCTGGCTCAGGAGGCAGCAGGGTGTGGGGGGCGGGGGTCCAGGTCGGAGCCGCTCTGAGCAGATTAGTCACGTCTCCACAGTCACTTCCCCTATTGCTGTTGTGACAGATGCAGCCCTAGAAGGGTCTTCCTGGGTGTGAGCAACGTGCCTGGAGCCCCAGGGAGGGGAAGGCAGGGTCATGGCTGGACTGCTCTGCTGGCAGCCTGGGGCCAGAGCCCCCACACCTCTGGGTCTCAGAGATGACAGGGTGGAGCCATGACCTCTCCAGCTGCTTCTGGCCCTAACACCCCAAGGGCTCTGACTCACCACATTCAGGTGGAAGTTCTCTTCAACCCAGGTCTTGGCCTCCTGGAACTCCTCCTTCAGCTCCATGAGGTAGAGGGTGTCAAGGGAGTCAATGACCGTCGCCCCGCTGAGGCCTCCTGCAGCACAGAAGATCGAAGGCGTGACCCAGGGTCATTCTTACCCTTCCCATCAGCCACACAAGCCACCATTCCCCGGACTCCTCTAAATGCCTGGCAGTCTCCAAGGCCAAGGCCAGCTCAGGAACAATCCAGGGAGAATCCAGTACCACCATCCTTGGAAGGCAAGCCCAGGACCCAGTGTCCCCCAGGGGCTGCTCCTCCTCAGGGCAGTAAAGGGCAGGCAGCAGGCGGGGGAGACCGAGTTCATGGGCTGAGCCACTTCCTAGACCTGGGGCCACTGATACGAGCCAGCAAGTCCGCCATCAGTGCCAGTCGGGCACCTACCACTCCGTGATGCTGGGGGTAAGGATGAACTGACATGTGGTTTACACAGTCTTAACAAACATGCCAGTCCTCTGGCTCTTCAATTCCATCTAAGAAAAAAATAATAAAGATCTTCATAAATATATACTTAGGAAGGTATTTATTGCAGTGTCATATATAATGGGGGGGAAATCCCAGGTCCAACAATATGGGATTAGTTATATAAATTGTGGCTCAAATATAAAAGAGGTATTTGCCCTGGCTAGTGTGGCTCAGCTGGTTGGAGCATTGTCCCGTACACCGAAAGGTGGTGGGGTTCGATTCCAGGTCAGGGCACATGCGTAGATTGTGGGTTCAGTCCCTTGTTGGGGCATGTAAGGGAGGCAACCAATTGGTGTTTTTCTCTCTCACATCAATGTTTCTCTCTCTCTCTCTCTAAAAAAATTAATAAAAACATTTTTAAAAAGTAGATTGTATAAATAAATTAAAAGTGCAGTATAATTTCTTTATTGTATGTCAAATGTGGATGTGTCTGCACAGAACTGTCTGGCAGGACATGATTCCGTGGTCAGTCCCAGCGCTGGCATTACAGGCTTTCTGATTTCTTCAATCATGAATTATTTTTATAATGAGAAATTTATTTCCATTAAAAAAAAAAGGAAAGTTTGGCTAAAGGAACCACACAAATGCGCAAACCAAAGATTTTCATAGTGATGCTTGCTCTGGGCAGTGAGCACACACGCATGAGCTATGAGGCCTGGCCCTTGCCATCAGGACTTCAATATTGTCCTGGGAATAAATGCTGAGAAAACTGTGCAAAAATGAATTTTCCACACCACAAACTAGAGAGAAGAGTGATGAGGAAGACCTCCCCATGTGGCACAACCAGAGACTGAAGAGTAGAGGACTGTGAAGGAGGAAGGGAAGGTAAAAGGGATGCACCTGGTGTCTTCTGGAGGGCTTCCTGGAAGAGGTGGCTGCTGCCTCCCATCAACTCCTTACTACTATAGTCATTGCAGAAGGCAGCAATTTCCTTTAGGGACCAGAGGGTAGCTTAAGAGAAGTAATTGTTCCTTCAATGTCCTCCTTGCAAGGGGCTCAAAGCACTGAGAATAGCAGGCTTGGCCTTCCCAGTGGAACTCCAGAGCTCGCCGACAGCGCTGAGCCCCACTTGAATCTCCAGACATCTTTGTGGGCACTTCTGCATTCAGTTAGCATCTAATCTCCTTAGTTAGTGCTTCCCTAACTACTCACTTGTGTTGACTTTGCAGGCAGAGAATCCTTCTGAAACTCAAACACTTAACCACCTTCCGAGGCCGGTGGTAAAGGGCATCGCCTGGAAAAAGTCCAGAGGGAGATCAGGGAGAAGCTGGGAGACAGATAAGGCTGGAGGTTAAAGAATCCATTTCCAGAAGGGAGGATTCGCAAGGAAGAGCAGAAGGAAGGGAGGGCTGGGGAAGAGAGGGGCTTCCCAATCCGGGGTCACCTGGGAGGGCTTTGGGCTGAATTTCCAGAATGTCAACCCCTCCTATACTGAAGGATTTTGTAGGAAAACATACCCAAAGCCAAACAAAGTCGAGCCTTTCCTGGTTTATCCCAGTTGCTTCCCCTGTAGGTGTCAAAGGCTAAACATGGTCCCTGGGAACTCTCGGCCCTCCTGAGGTTTTCAGGCATGGACACTGATGAGACACACATGGACAGTCCGAGACACGCCCAGGCCACAGAGCCTTAGACTGATTTTTTCAGGGCCTGAAGGGATTTTTGAGATCCTGCTGCCCAACCCCTTCATGTCATAGATGAGGGCCACAGAGCAGGGCTGGGATGGCCCAAGACGAGACTTCAGACAAAGGGAGGAGTGGAGCCCCAGCCCCCCTCAAGTGTGATGTGTTTTTCATGACAAGGATGCCTTTCAGCTCTCTGTGAAAACAATATCAGATCTGACTGCTGACCCTGCCCCACCCTTGCAGGGGCAGGAGGCTGCTGTGAGCAGGGGAGGCTTGGAGAGAAACCCACACTGTGCGTTCTTCAAGGTCAAGGGAGAGGTGGCCTAGAATATCTGATTTCTGATTCTTGCCCTGGGCTGCCTGGTGTTTTCACCCCATGGGACCTGCTTCCCCTGGGCTGAGCCTGAGCCAAGGCTCCGACCCTTGGGCCAGGAAGGCGGCCAGGGCTCCTCGTGACCAGCTCTCATTCCCAAACCCTCCAGAGGCACCAGGTGAGAAGGCAGCTTGCTAAGAAATTTGTTGGCAAGATTCTGCCCCTGCTCTCAGGTTCCTGAATCCTTCTCTTGGTAGATCTCTCACCCTCACACCCACCTACCACACAGCTGGGCTGTGGGCCAGCAAGGCACTTATTGGAAAGCCTTTCATTCCAGGCCAGAGGTCATTCAGAGGCCAGGCTGGGCAGGAAAGAAGGCCCTATCCTGAGTTCAACTCTATCTGTACCTGTGGCAGCCTGGGCAGCTTCCTGCGGAGGAAAGACACATGTCCACTCAGTAAGGAGGCCCATGATTTATGTGCAAAGAACCAACAGGGCACAAAAGTTAGGCAGCCAGCTTGGACTGGGCCTAAGCCTGGGGTGGGCCCAGGTTGGCTCACTCCCCCAGCTCCAGCTCTGAACACTTGCTGCTCACAAAAGACCCCCTTCTCATCCCCTCCCTGCCAGGGCAGGAGGGAGTGAGGGTCTTAAAAGAACATAGCTCTGGGTTCAGATCTCAGTTCAGGCCAGCAACACATCTGTTCTAAGTGTCCAAGTTCTCATCTGTAAGTGAAGTTAGACCACTGGGCTAGGGTACTGGGGACACACGGCAGCTTCCTGAGCCTGGATAAATGCATCATACACACCTGATAAGGACATTTGTATGTGCCTGGCACAGAGCAAGTACTTGAAAAATCAGCTCCTTGGTTATTTCTGTGGTCCCTTAGCTCATCTTGAAACCTTGGTCTAACCAGGGAGATGGAGGTTCAAAACGGCTCCATCACATACTAGCTTTGTACCTCTCTGAGCCTCATGTGCCTCATCTGCAAATGGGATGACAGCAGGACCTGCCTCCTAAGGCTGCAGGGAGGGTTAAATGGAGGCAGTGGACAGAAAGTACCCAAGATGTTGGGTCCATGTGAGCTTAACTAGTAAATAGAAGTGTGGTCCTCCTTCCCTCCAACTGGCCCTGGGCCGCTCCTACACAAAGTCCTCTGTGGCACTCCTGCATTTCTGGCCTCTCCGCACCCTGCAGGGCAGTCTGGTCTTGAGACTGCAATTTGCAAACCCTTGGCCCAACTTAGAGGAAAAGAGTCACATGGGACCGACCTGTGTCTACTGCTGAGGTAGGTCATCACCACCCCTGACCTGGGTGTGCACCTGCCTGGGTATCTTCCTACCTCTGGGAGCCCCTCCCTTTTCTTCCAATTCACCCTGTACATTGTTGCCTGACCTGTCTTCCTAAAACCAGATCCCACTGTGTCCCTCCACAACTCAGGTACCTGTAATGGCTTCCCAGTAACCATGCAACAAGGAGGTGAAACCTTTTGGGTCTGACTCCAAAAGATCTGGCTAATCTCATCTGCGATCAGGCTCTGCTTCCTGGATACATATTGCAAGCGTCTGCCTCCATACCTTTGCATGGATGGTCTCCTCTGCCAAGAAAGCTTCTCCATGCATCTGGGCATACTCAATACACACACATTCCTCAAAGTCCGCCTCCTCCTGGCAACCTTCCCTGATCCTCCCCAGCCAACCTCCTCCCACCCTGCACTATGAGGCTTTGTCTCTTTGAGGTCAAAGGTTCTCATGGCCTCTCTTGCACCTCTTCCCCTCCGTGTCTCCAAGCAACCCCAAAGGCCAGAGTCCCCAACCCAAATGGGCCGCCCACCATTCTCTGTGACATTTATACAAATTGCTAGGGATTGCCTGCCCACTCCACCTTCTCCTGTGGAAATCTAGAGCTCACCCCTGGCCCATGAAGCCATTGTGATCTCCACCCCATGATCCACATGGAGTCTCAGCCTGCCTGACTCTCCTCCATGAGAACTGTTCCCTGGGCCCTCTGGGGCCACACTGGATACCCCCAAGCTGTCTAACCCCATCTCTAGCACAAGTGCTCCCCCATTCTTATCACACTGTACAGGAATTGTCGATTTACTTGTCCCTGCCCCTCCCTAATAGCAGGAGTTCTAGTCTGCACTGGAGTCATCTCCAAGCTCAAGAAACATCTGAGAGTGAAAGTGGGAAGGCAGAAGGCAGCATCACGCTTGCTCTCTGCTGGATCTTGGCCTTCAGGGCACCACTCTTCCTCTTGCTCCTCCTTCGAACCCTGTGATTGCTTCTTTGCAGCCGTCTTTGCTGGTTCTCCCTCATCTCTAGACCTTTAAAGACTGGGGTGCCCAGGGCTCTGTTTGGGCCTTTTCTCTGTCCTCCTTCATTTCCTTAGTGATTCATGGCTTAAATTCCCTCCACATGCTGATGAACTCAGTTTTAAACTTCCTGCCAGGACCTTGTCCCTGAACCCAGACTCACCTATCCAACAACTCCCCTCCCACTGCCATTTCCATGTGGAGCTCCACAGGCATCTCACATTCAACTTCTCTGAAAGCAAGACCTGCTCCACAGTCTTCCCACCTCGGTTAATGCCAACCCCCTCCTCCCAAGAGCTGTGGCTCCAACCCCCACATCCTGGCTCTATCTTCACTATTTCCAGA